ATACCAATTAGAAGCCTAATTATTAACAGAAGCTCCTTTTACCCTCTTTCATTTTCCTTCTTTTTTCCTTCCTTCCTTCCTTTCTTTCTTTTTTCTTTTCTCTTTTCTTTTCTTTCTTTCTTCCTTCCTTCCTTTCTTTTTTCTTCCTTCCTTTCTTTCTTTCTTTCTTTCTTCTTTTTTCTCTCTTTTTTTAAATCTCAGGACAATGAGATCTGGCTTCTATCTTGTATTTGCCCGGTAAAATCTGTCTTCATGTTTTAGTGTGTAATGGTTAATTCTGATTGTCAGCTTGACTGACTGGAGAAACACAGGAGATTAAATAGAGCATGCTCTGGTATCTGTAGGGTGTTTCCAGAGAGGGTTAACCTGGCCTGTGTGTGGAAGCACCATCTCATAGCTGGGGCCCACATAGAATACCTGAGGAAAAGAGAGGCAGTCAAGGCAGGCATTCTACCTCTCTGCTTGCTGGCTGCCATGATGTGAGCCTCTCTGTTGCCACACTGTCCCTACCACAATGGGCTGGAGCCATGAAACCCAAGCCAAGAAGGTAAAGCTTTCATTCCCCACCTTGTTTTTATAAACTATTTTGCCACAGCAACAAGCCCAACTAATATCCAGTATAGAAATATTTTTTAACTCATCATTGCATGTACATCGTTCTTTTCTTGTTAAAAACAAGCAGCTTTGTTTGTTGAGAGAGAGAGAGAAAGAGAGAGAGAGAGAGAGAGAGAGAGAGAGAGAGAGAGAGAGAGAGAGAGGGAAGAGAGAGAGACAGGGTCATGACATGGAAGGAGGTTGTGTTTGCTTTGATGAACTTTGGCCTGATGGGTTCCGGGCCTAAACCATGGACCTCCATTAGCCTTCTAGTCCAGACACTGGCTGGTATGTGATGATACTCCACAGGGTTTTGTAAACTTTCAACATGTGGTAGATGGCATTTCCTGACTATGATTGTTACTCAGGAAAGGAGGTTCTGTTGATGTTCCATCCTCCCTAGATGAAGGTAGTATGTGCTCTCCTTTATTTCCCACATGGGTCCCACCTCAGGCCCTGGGACCAGGGAGGCACTCAGAATCTCTTTTATTAAGTCTGAAAGAGATGTAGCCAGGATCCTGTTCTTAGTCTTTGTTTTTCTTTTTAACTATGGTTTCAGAAGATATTGTCATGATTTTGATATAAATAGTCACTCTGTGTTTTGATTGAGTTTTGGAATCACCAGAAATGAGCACTCGTTAGGGGAAGAAGCCATTTTTGTTCACTCCTTCTGAATTCACAGATTTCTCAGAAAGGAAAAAACATTTTCCCCAGTCTCTTTCAAAAGAAGACCAGCCATGAACATAAACTTAAGCCTGAAGTCACTTGTCTCAAGGCTGCATTAGATTATGAAATAAACACCCTGGGGCTAGGACCAGGTTGCCACACTCCTCAGACCTCTTCAGCTTGGTGCTCCTGCTCCGCGCAGGTTCTAGAAAGGTTTCTTGGATGACGATGGACTCTGGAAGGGAACATGGCTGAAGGGACCCTTCCCAGGACAGCATGCATTACACTTGCTGGTCACAAATTCCACAGAATGAAAGGTCTCACTGAATCCCCACATGGGGTGTTTCCCTTCTGCTTCCCTCTTTTCTCTTCGCCTTGCAAGAAAATGTTTCACAATGCAGGGGATGTCTTCAGAGGCACCAAGGATTACTGTTTATTTCCCACTAATTAAAGTGGCGGGATCGGAGAGGACGGGCTTTGCCTTTGAAGTAGATCATTTCTTTTAAGTCAGATCAGATTTCACATCAATTAAAGGCAGCATCCCTGGGCATACCTGAGCAATCCATATTTTCTTTAAAATTGTGTGCCTGGTGCCTGAGAGGTGCCCTCGGGAGAGGCGTCTGCCTGTTTAGCTTTCGTTTTGAGTTCCTGATGGTGGGCTGTCATTCACATTTGCAGTCCTCTGCTCTAAGGAGGCTAGTGGTGTGGTTCTAGGTTTCAGTTCAGCAGTAGCCCAAGCAGAAAGCAGAACAGCAAAAGTTCTTCCCTAGTGTAAGGTGCTGATGTGCAAATAAGAAACGCCATTCATGCATTTCACTCAGCGTTCCAAAAGTCCGAATGTAGAAACTTTGAATTTCTTAAGTATTCTCTGGGCTTCCTGTCGGATTTGTTCTTTTGATTTGGGCTCCTGTGTTAGTTACTCTCCTCACTGCTGTTCTAAAACACCCAACAAAAGTGACTTCAGCCGGGCGGTGGTGGCGCACGCCTTTAATCCCAGCACTCGGGAGGCAGAGGCAGGCGGATCTCTGTGAGTTTGAGGCCAGCCTGGGCTACCACCGAGTGAGTTCCAGGAAAGGCGCAAAGCTACACAGAGAAACCCTGTCTCAAAAAACCAAAAATAAATAAATAAATAAATAAATAAATAAATAAATAAATAAATAAATAAATAAATAAATTAAAAAAAATAAAAGTGACTTCAGGGAGGGGAGGTATCCTTTGGCTCAGAAACCAGAGGGAGGGTTCATCATGGCAGGGAGAGCAGCTGAAGCAGGTCTTTCCTGGATGGTGATTTGATCATAGTTGCTGGGAGCTTGCCATGGTGGGAGCTCGGAGCGAGGGAGATTACTGTGGTGGATTTTCAACGGCACCAACAAGGAAGCGGAGCTCAGCCTGAAAATGGGGTTAGTTGGAACCCTCAAGTCCCACAGTGGTGGCCTACAACTGTCATGGAGACCAGCTGGAAATCAATTGTTCACATGGGCCTACAGGGCCATTTCACATTCCACCTTAACAGTTCATCACTAATATGTCAAAGTCATAAGCATCCTTTTTCTATTTCCTCTTACACAGCAGATCACTAAAAGCTCTTGTGATGGCTAACGTTAGGATTACTCAGCCTGAACCCTTTTTCTTTCTGGTAGCCCAGGATCCCAGGCACTCCTCACATTAAGGATGTTTCTAAGATGAAGTGTGATAAAGCTGGAAAAGCACAGAGTCCTAGAGTGGATTCAGAACTCAGAACTCTTCTCATACCCATCTTCCTTCCTACCCAGTAACTGATCTCAACAAAGCTCTCCATCTGGGCCTTCCCCGCCCCAGTAAAATCACATATGACAGGACTGATCTCCTTGCTCCTCTGAATGTTGTATCTCAGAGGCCCCCAGATGTTCAGCTTCAGTGGCCCAGGTCTCCATCCAATCCAAGTGATTCCATTTGGGCCGCCTCATCTCACCACACTTATTAAATACTTGTGGAACCCTCCCCTGTCCCAGCAGCTACAGTACTATCTATGACACCACCTTCTCTTAAAACACCAGGTTGGGGATATGCCCATGGGTCAAGCACATGGTGCACAAGCCTGATGACCTGATTTTGGATCCTCAGAATCCCAGTAAAAGCCGGATTCAAGCATCTGTAATCTCAACATGTCCTTACCAGGAGATGTGAGGCAGACCCAGGAGAATAGCCAGAAGCCAACAAGCCAGCTAGCCTGGTGTATGCAGCGGTGAACCAGACACCCTACCTCGAACAAGGTGGAAGGTAAGAACCCGAGGTTTGTCATCTGGTCTCAATACATGCAACCATGGCTTGTATGCATGTTGCACACAAGAGCGCATGCACACACACACTTGTATGACATACATAAATTCTTCACACATCTTTAATGAAAAAAAAAACTCATTTTAAAGTCTCAGGTTGATCCATGGTGTTGTCTGTGGCAGAGACAAAATGCTCACTCCCTGGCCTCTACTCACAACAGCTCTGTGGACACCCATCTGCTTGGGAAATAAAAGACTGGGGAGAAAGCTGTGGCTCAAGCAAGGTCCTGTTGCTTCAGATTGTGCCCACAGCTGGCATGTCAGAGAGGTGACCACATATGGTTCTGAGACATTGAGAGGTTGGGGGGGGTGAGGGGGAGGGGTAGGGGGGTATGCTACTGTGAAGGTAATGGAAAGTGAAACACACACATCCCAAACCTATCTCAGAGGCCCCAGGAACGGCACAACTTCCCAAAGCAGCAAGAATTTAAGAAAAGAGGACTGTGCCATGGAGACAGCCAAAGAACTAGAGGTCCTTTTCCACTGTGGCACCGTTTGCCCTCAGCCAACGCCCAATCTCATGCACTAGAGGCCCCTTGTCATTTAAACCACAAGCCGGGGGCAAAGATGAGTCTGTGCATTTGCTCCACTTCCCAGGTGCAGTCCAATTAAAAATAAGATAGGGTTGGACCAAGATGACCCTAATTATCTTTATTAAAAACCCAGGAGGCAGCAGAAGCTCGTACAAAAGAAAAGTCTGTTCCTAGACCACAACAATGTTTAAAGAAAAACCCAGAGCTTGATGACTTGTCTACTTTCCTGAATCTGATGTTCTTGCCAGTGGAACATCTTAACCCTACCCTGCTCTTGATCCAGAAGGTGTTCTGGTGTGGTGGGCTAGACTCTGGGATCGCCACTGGAATTTGTCTGCATCCCCCACTTGTGGGCTGGGTGATGCTGGGGAAGGCACTCCAGCCTTCCAGGTCACCATCTCGTCACCTGTGTGATGGGAACATTCACAGCTGCTGTACAGATTTGCTGTCAATTAAACGAGAGCATGTAGCTGCTTTGTTGTGGGTTTGGAGAGCCATAAGCACTTAATGGACAGTCTACTGCTGCTATTATTTAATGCAGGTGTCTGCTGTTGGCACCAGCAGAAATAGTCTATATGCACTTCATCTTCAGCATCTGGGAACTCTCACGTCTGATCTTCTCACCACTTTAACTGTAGTGTGACACCAGGAAGCCTTGGCATTCACTGTCCGCCTGGCACTTCAAAGACCACCCAAGCCAATTCCATACTTCCAATCCCACGAAGTATGGACATGATTCCCATAGCAATGACTCCCCAGCAGAGAGCAAGCCTAATAGCAACACTGAACATCTCTCTTTACACCGCCGTATCCCTCCCCAGGGTGGCCTTCTAACTCAAGAATTGTGACAGGGACTTCATTAGACCTTTGAACACAAAATGGCAGCCACTGCATTTTCCTCTATTTTTAATGAACATAAAAAGGTTTACAAATCATGCTCAGTTATGATACACAACAACAAGCCTTATGTATTTCTTTCTATACAAACTGAGGTTCTCCCCACAGCAATTAAGTCCAGTGCATGATAGACTTTCCAGAATAAAGTATATGCTATTCTATAGACCGAGAGGAGCTGTATTCGTTGTTTTCTATTCCTGTAATAAGAAACACCGTGACCAAGGCAATTTATAGAAGGGTTTATTTTGGCTTATTAGTTCAGTAGGATCAGAGCTCATTACAGCAGGGAGGGACCGTGGCTGGAGCAGCAAGCCCGGGGCAAACTAGGAATGATGCATGCCTTAGAAACCTCAAAGCCAGCCGGGCGGTGGTGGCGCATGCCTTTAATCCTAGCACTTGGGAGGCAGAGGCAGGTGGATCTCTGTGAGTTCGAGGACAGCCTGGGCGACAGAGTGAGTTCCAGGACAGGCTCCAAAGCTACACAGAGAAACCCTGTCTCAAAAAAACCAAAAAAAGAAAAAAAAAAGAAAGAAAGAAACTTCAAAGCCAGCACCCACAGACATACTTCCTCCAGCAAGACCACACCTTCTGAACCTCCCCAAACAGCACCACTAACTGGGGGCCAAGTACTCAAACATCTGAGTATATGGGGGACATTCTTATTTAACCACCATAGGGACCATCGAAATGCCATTGGTTACAAGGAGTCCAGTCATGAAAGTCTGCAAGTAGGGCTGAACTTGTCAAAGCTGCATTGCTTAAGTCACATTCCAAGAGGCTAGGCTCTTGGTTTTTTACCTTGTTAGAAGGAAGCAGTGCTGTTAAATGATACTGTGTTCAGGGTAATTCTGTGCTGATAGTATCATGAAATTTGACTTGATGGGAACTGTATGTGAGCTGACCAGGGAAGGATTTACATAAGCAAAGTTTCTTCTAAGTAGTTCCCTAAGGTTCAAATCATACTGACCAAAGCAGTCCTGGTCTCTTTGCTTTGGTGGCACTTCATCAGTGTCTGGGATGTCACTTCCTGGGGAGTCACTGACTGATGGTTCATCTGGAAATCTCTGACTGAGCTTTTCTGACCTTAGAAAGGAGCTGAGGAAAAAGCAAAAACAGAAACCAGCTGCAATGTGTCTGACTATTGCCCACTCCATCTCCTGGTAGATGAGGCACCTACGCGGGCCTCCGAAGAACACTAACAAGGGACTTCTATGGTGAGCTTGTGTTCATCTTCTAGTATGCCTTTCATGGATAGCCATCCTGCCTCTGTGCCGTGGGCCTCGGTGAGCTGTTAGTAACCTCAGTCCCCTCACCACCACCAAGGACGGTATTTGATCCGGGCTAAACTGAGAACATTTTCTCTACAACTTATTCCAACCAGAAGAGAGAAGATCACTTTCTTTTGATTGAAAAAAGGCCAAGGCTTGGATGACAATTTTCCTTTCCTGCCCTCTGCTGACAAGTAGCCTCAGGATAGTCACACACAGACATAGGAATAGAACTAGGAGATGGGAACAGTGCCAGAATTTTAAAAGATTCATTGTAACCCCTGGACGTACCTTTGCCTGAAGCTGTACAGACTGCCACGGACATTCCGCTTTTTGTTTTCCTTAAGCCCATTTGAACTGGGTTTCTATCACTTTCCTCTAGAAGCATCATCAGAAACAATTACGATGCACTGCTGGGGAAAGTTCCTCAGTGTAGGTAAAGTGTCGGCCGATGCGAAACCAGGAACCGGGAGCTCTGTTACCTCCACTTTACAAAAGGACAGACTCATCTTAGAGAAGAAAATGGTATTGCCTTCAAAGAAGCAGGGCTGAGGTTTAAATCCAGACTATTCTGTCTCCAAACACCCTGGTGCCTCCTCCGGAGATCAGAACCTGTGGAACACTTTCCAGATGCCGTGATTTTCCGAGATTGTGGTGTGATGGAAACACGAGGCTTTGCTGTGGACTTCCCATTCCTGTAGCCAACACACACGTGATCAGAAGAACTTGGTAACAGATGGCTCTGCCTGCACTCAGAGACGGTAGCTGTCCCACTGGGCAGCATGGGCAAAGAGGAGGACAGGGACCAGCCACACAGGGTCCAAGCTTGGCATCAAGTAGGTATGGCTCCCAAAAGAATAAGAATGGAGTAAATAGCTTAAAGAGATACCCAAGAACATTTACATATGAGAATTTAGCTCAGGCCAGCCCAGAATGCGTACTATGGAGGGGTAGAGGAATGGGGTATGAACTTCAGAAAAAAAAAAATGAGGCTTGGGAAAGTTCCATATCACAGGGAGTTCTGTGGAGTACTAAGTGGGAGGACAGATGCTGAAAAGTTGAGGCTAAGAACCTAGACTCTACAAACTGTAAACACAGACAACAACGGGGATACTTGGGTACATGTGTGATCACACACACACACACACACACACACACACACACACACACCCCTACTCATCCACCTGCTCGTTTCCTGCACAGATATTTAATATAATGCTAACTATAATGATTAGGTCATGGCACCCACTAGCAGTGGCACAAGTGGCCACATGTGTGCCCGTGTATGACAGAGAGACAGAATGTGACCTGGAAAGTAGATATTGACGATTTCAAAACACATAGTAAGAGTAAAGTATCATGCACAACTGAGGAGAGATTCGGAGGGCTGCAGAGAGCCTGGGGAATGAGGCCTGGGGTGGTGGATGGGCAAGAAGAGAGAACTCAGCCCTTTAAAGCAGTGGAAGAGTGTCTTGACGGTGCCCAAGGTTGCCAGCACAAGAGTGCTCTCTGCCCTCCTTGCTGAAATGATATCCCACAGAGTATCCTGTCCCTGATGAATGAGATTCTCAATTGGGGACACAATTAGCAGACCAGGGACTGGAAAAAGTCGACTCTCAGGGAGTGGCTGGTGGCCATTAACGCCGTGTATGGCTTTTGGGGTCGCAGCATTGGTTGCCGTGTACATTATTTTACTGGATCTTTGTAGCAACCTGAAAAGGCAGCGCTGGCTAGCTGTTTCCTCCATGTACAGTCTGAAGCTAATGGAAGGGAACTGTTTACCTGGGCCCATAGAGGCTGGAAAACAGCAGGAATGGGACCCGAGCTTCAGGCTTTTGAGTGTAAACACATGCCCTCATCTCCCTGCTCCATCTCTGCTGCTGGAGGTGCCTGAGAGACTAATGAACTAGCAAGAGACTGTAGTGGCACACTCCCTTTGTGGAGGAAGAGCCCAGCCTGAAGGCAGTGTGTCCAATGAGCCTTTACCAATGTGATTATTTGGCTCATGAGCATTGCATTGAAGAGATGCAACTCAACTGAGATAATATGAGGGAGGCTTTCAAGTCAGGGCCAGTCCCTCCTGGGCCAGTCAGTGCAGGACCTCCCCTCCTGCCTCCCCAGCCACACCCCATAAGCTCTGCCACCAGTCACACTGTCATGCTGTAAATTCCCCCTGCACATGAGGGTACTGGCGTGGTTCCAGCACCACCGATGAGGAGACTGAGGCATGGAGAGGGCAGACAATGTGCACAAGGCCATACAGCAAGGACAGTGAGGATTCCAACCCAGGAATCTGGCTTTAGAACCCATGTCCACTCCACTGATGACGTCTAAGGCATTAATTGGTGAAATAAAAGACTAGACAGGCTGAAGCCTGTGTTCACACCAAAACCAGAGTCACTGTAGGGCTTGCACAAGCCACTATATGTAGAAACAGCCAAAGAACAATAACCACTTCTATTACTTATCACACAACGTCAAGTGTGAGCTGCCACCACCATACAATCAGTTTCCTTTATTATGTCTCTTATGCAGTCTTCAGGACACTTACCTCGGTGTGTAATCACGCACCCATTTGCCTTCTTCAACATCCTAGTGCTCAGTGCTGATAACAAACAAACGCATGGATGAGCAAACAAATGAGACTCCCAGCTCAAGAAGCCTTCCTTGAATGAATGGGTGAATGAATGAAACATTCCTTGCCGCCCTGGAGTCGCACATTTTTTTTTTTCTGCACTTGGTGGGAAGAGAATATTGCTTTGTTTCTCTTCATGCCATCTTGGGACTCTCACGCATTTCCCACAGCGGATCTGCATGGTGTTTACAGGTGCCTTCTGAAAACCACCCACTCCCAGCTTTCTAAACTCAGAGACGCTGTGTCTCTGAAATGTCAGCCTCTCTCGTTAAGTCCCTTGCTCAAAAGAAGCGAGAGATGCAGACAAGGAGAGTTTTCAGCTCCTCTCTCGGCTGTGCCAATTGTATAATGAGTCTGTGGGACTGAGTTTATTTCCAAATTTAGACCCACTTAGAGCACAATGGAGGCTTCTAAACTCATCCCGGTGCCTCCCAAACCCACTTTTGACTTTTAAAGATTACAGATTTTTCTGAGTTTGATGAGTGGTGAGTGGGAGCAGAAAGTTCCAGAAGACAGGCTGATAGTTTTTGATCCTCATGTCCTTTTCTCTTTTCTCTAAATGTGGTTATTAAGAATCTGAATTCCACTCCCATGGGCATACTCTAGAGGCAAATATTTCCTCTGCCTTTCAAAGAGGCTATTTTATTTCAGGTCAGCCAATTGGCTTCTTTGCTATATGGATTTTCTTAACGGCTTCCTTGTGGTCTTTGCTTTCTTGATCTCAGAATTCTAAGTTTCTCTTGAAATTACTCAATAAGTAAATGTACATTTTAACCCCTACTTTATTATTCTATTTGAGCCTTTTAAATTCATAGGACATATCTTCTTCATAGTTTACCTTATGAGCATCAAGCATTAAAAATGATTTTAAATTTTATTTTAATTAATTAATTACTTTTGAGACAGAGATTTTAGAACTCGAAGCAAATGGTCCTTCCTCGGTCTCCCAAGTGCTGAGTTATAGGCATGAGCAGTTTTAAACAAGGCATTTCTTTCTACTGAAGCCCCAAAGCTTAGAACAGCTGTGGCAAGGGCTCATGGTTGGAAGCAGGGATGATGTACCATGAAGGCAGGGTGTGGTCCAGCTCTTCCTGCTCTTGAACTTCCGCCACAAAAGGGAATGCCAAAGGAGTGACAATGAAATGCTACAGGGCAAGAATCAAGGCGCACCAGATCGCAGCAGTTCCAGAAATGTCGTCTTCCACCCTGCACTCTTCTCCAACCTGGAGAAGCCAGGGGCTGCTGGGTGCTCAGGGTGGAAGAGCAGAACGGTGAGGATGAGGGATGGTGGCGCAACAGTGGCATCCTTCCCCCTTGGTCCTGGGAGGGAGATCTTCCAAGGGAGAGTTAGAAGGATGTAGGTAGACATGGAAAGTAAGAGCAGGCTCCCTACGACAGCAGCTTCCGGTCCTCTGAAAGTGACCTGGGAAGATAATCAGCCTGCCTAAAATGTGTCCGAAGGGCAGAGAGTCTAACAGAATGAGTAGGGAAGGAAGTAATCCTGAGCCTTTCCCACTAATTCCAGAAAGCACTGCGGCAAATGTGTATGATTAGTGCACTTTGGACACAGTAGATAATTCCCAGTTGTTAAGTTCTCTTCCACCAGGTCCTCAGTTGCTTCATAAACCCTGGCCCCTTCCTCATCCCCCAGAGGGAAACTGGATGGCTTGGGCTGGAGTATCACACTTTGTTGGGGGCTTTTCTAAGATGTGGCCAGGAAGCAGTTAACCAGAGAAACACTACATGGAATGCTGCCGTAGAGTGATGCTCACACCTAAGACCTGGGACAAGGGATGGCTATTGGGTGGGCCAGCCAGGATACTCCTCATGTTCCACCCCCTGCCTGCAGTGGACGCTTGCTCCTGAGGAGTGTAGTAGAGAATCCATTATGACCTCTCCCAAGATCGGTAGAACGTACAATCTTCTCCTTCTCCGAAGCCCCTCACCCCATCTCTGGAGTGTGATGGAGAGGGGGTTAGTATGAAGAGGGAAGCAGGAGGCAGCACAGATGCCTTCGGGGTGGACCATGCACAGCAGCCTCCCTGGGGGCCCTGCCTGGGGACAGGAAGGCCAGAATTCGTCAGGAGATAAGCTAACTTCTAAGAAATGGTACTAGAGGAAGAAAGTGCAGGGGGTATTGCCAGTGTATCCTCACTGTGAATAGGAGTTAAGGATGGAACCTCTTTAGGAAGCAAATGATAGTGGTTTTGAGCAATGGTTCTGCATTTGGACATTTTTTCCTTCTCTCTACAGAAACAGTATAAAATTGCTACCATGACCAATGCAATGAAAACATGTAGACGAACATGAAGGAAAAGCACAGAAGCACACCAACCAGACACGACCAAAACATTGTTGTCTTTCCGGGTTTTGTGAGATTTAGAGCAGTTACTAGCAAGAGATGGAAATTTTCCGTGTTTTTCTTCTTCTTACTTCAGGTGACTCTGTACCTATCTTTACTTATATTTTATTCTAATATAATTTCAACATTGCATTTTTTCTTTATTTGGGGGAGGGATACATGCATGGCACCCTGTTAACATTTCATCTTTAAAACACGGCTTCGAATGTCATACATTTTAGATATTTCAGTAAACCCAGCTTCCCAGGTTTACCACCAGCTACATAGAATGGCATTTTATATTTTATTATAGGTAATACACCAGCTTCCCAGGTTTACCACCATCGACATAGAATGCCATTTTCATTTTGGTCATGTCCTGTTCTGCCATGAAGAAGTTGCCTGAGAGGGTTTGTAGCAGAAGACTTACCCTTCTGAAGTACCAAGTTCTGACACCCAGGACAGTACCCACTAATCCCCAGCAATGCTTAGTAGGTGTCCAGGAGTGTGAAAAGATTTGTTAGAGCTCAGCTCTGCAGACTAGACCCCTTCACCTCTCAAAGAGAGACTGACTACTGTGTGTGTGAGGGGAGGTCTCTGGATAATAGCTCCTAACTCTTAGAGTCTTGATCATATCACCTCATTTTTTATTGTGCAGAAATTAATAGGATAAGCTTTCCAGAGATGCTGAAAATGAGTTCCATAATGAGAATATAACATAAAATACATAATTAGTAGGAAAGATTGTTTTGGGAGAATCTGTGAAGGTAAATAAATATGGAGATGCCAGAAGCATATGTTTATTAAATTTGAATACATAAATTGGGCTTATTCTACAACTTCCTCTTTAACTTTTCCTCATTTCCTTTCTTCCTCATTTACCTCTAAAAAGATAAAGATTACCAGCTAAGCAAAAAATTTTAGCTGAGAAATTTTCAATAACGTGTAGGAAAGACTTGGGTTGTTTGGCTGAAAGGGGAGAGTTTTCTGGAGGGTCATTGTTATTAGAAGAAAATATAGGAGTTGATTATGTTGGGGTTTTGTATTTGTTTGTTTTAGAAGATTTGGGAGTACTGAAACTTAGTCCTTGATTGGGTGTCAGAAAGAAAATAAATGAGCCATAACTCTGGGGCAGAGATCCACAGTGACAGCAGCTACCATCACAAGGCTGTCTGCTTAAAGGGGACAGGGGACACATATTTTTAACCCCTTCATGGCAATGGTTAAATACATGTACCCAAGTAGTATGGCCTCCACATATACTTGTGTAGAAAAGCAGAGATCAACTCCCACATGAGTTGATGCAGTGAACACTGTTGGCAAGAGTCTTACTCCTGTGTTTCCTATCAACTACCTACCCCTTGCCTGAGAATCTCTGCTGGAAAGTTACCTCATCTTCCAGCACATCCTTCTGCAAATTGTTGTTTGGTCTCGGGGAGAGGATCTAATCAAGCCATTCTAATCAAAATCCTTCTCACAAATTTAAATACAATTAAAAACTGATGGTGACAGTTCCCCTCAGTTGGTAAAAACTGTGTGACACAGAATCCAAGAACCATTGTTTCCTGTATCCCACCTTGGGAGAAAGTCTACCTGCAGCGAGTGGAAATGACGCAAGCAGGAGTCAGGAGTTAGATCTCCCAGCATCCTCCTGGGAGCTTCTTCCCTTCCTGTGGGTTTTTCCACATTTCCTTGGGTCCCATGGACCGCTAAGGCCTCCTTTTGCCTCTGCTGGTTCAAACTGGTTTGGATCCCTAATTACCAAAGAAGTGCTGTCTTGCCTGCTGTTTAATTAAAATATTTGATTAATTGAAAACTGGAAGCTCTCTACTGCAGTCTGTGTTCACAAAATAAATCTTTCCCACTTTTGAAAACTGATGGACTGAATGTAGTAACTACTTCCTCTAGCCCTTGATTTGGCAAATTGGTTATTTAGAGAGAAGGGAAAGAAGGTCTCAACACAGCCAGTGGGGCCCACGCCTGTAGTTCCACCACTCAGAAGGCTGCGGAGGGCCTACAACAGACAGGAGGGACGGGTGCAGGCAGGACCCAACCTCAAAAAAACAAAACAGCAAACAAAAAGTCACAGACGCATCCCAGGAAAGAGGATGGGTATGAATGGCAATCAATAAGTGTAATGCAGTGTTTTCTTGACCTGCGCTGTCTCTTTCATAAGGTCTTGCTTTTTGCAGGGACTGTCAACAGCACAGCTAGAATCCTTGCCCCTGTCAAGCTAATGTCCCATTCTCCTTTCTGGATGAAGAGAACACGGCAATTAGTGCTACCGATGTTTTAACTTGGGCATCTAACCCTGGACAGTCACAAGTGTTCTGAGGAGGGGCTGGCCTCTGTCTGCTTTCCCCATCCAAGCAAATGTGACAAGAGAACTCTCTGCTGCCCTTTGTCACTCAGGTTCTGTCTGTGAGTCTATCTGGAAGATATCTATTTGTCCAAAGGCCAGGGAGATGATAAAACAACCCACCCATTCCCAAAGCACCAGAGCAAATTGTAGATGGCTCATTCTGGAGAGTCAGCAAAAGGGCAGAGTGGTAGAGATATGGCATAGTGGCCAAGAACATATAATCCTCTTCCAGACGATCTGACCCTACAAGCTCCCATATCAGGTGGCTAAGAACCTCCCATAACTCCAGCTCCAAGGGGATTCAGCGTTTTTGATCTCCTTAGGCACCTGCACTCACATCCATCTATCCACACACACATACATACATATACATAATTGCAAATAAATCTTAAAAGAGTCAGAAAGGGCTGAGGATACGGCTCAATGGTAGAGTACTTGCCTAGCATGTGCCAAGCCCTGTGTTCGACCCCCAGTACCATCTTGGGACCCCGACCAGTTGAAATAACTCCCAGTAAAAACTGACAGGTGCTGGGAGTCTTCAGAGCATTTTAAGGAAGCAGCTTTGTTTCCTGTGAACTTTTATGAAGACTTGTTTTAAATCTGGAATTGA